TCACTGATCCTTGCTCTTACCCAAAGGCTGAAGAAACAGGCCCACCCTCCAAGTGCCAGTTCTGGTCTCTGAGTGGTGGCTGTGGGGAGCTCCCTCAGGCTGCCATGCTAACTCCTCCCCAGGAATCCGAGATGGAAGCCCCTGACCTGGACACCCGTGGACCTGGTATGTGAGTCAACCCAGACCAAGAAAAAAAAAAAAAAAAAGTCTTTAGACCCTATTAGAATCAGAGAGTCCTTTAATATCAGAACTAGAGGAACTAATTTTAGACTAGTGCCTTAGAAAAATGATTCTCAAAGTGTGGTCCTCAGACAGCAGAATCAGCATCACCTGGGAATTTGTTAGAAATGCAAATTATTGGGCTCCACTACAGAGCTACTGACTCAGGAATTGAAGATGTTAGGCAATCTGTTTTAATAAGCCCTTCAGGTGAATCTGATCCAGACTCGTTTGAGAAAACCACTGCCCTGGAATGTCAGAGAATTAAGCTGCAGGTTCCTTTTACAGAGGAAGAAACTGAAGTCAGAGAAAAGTAGAAAAGTCACTTGACTAAAGCCACACAGAACCGGAACTTAGCTTCCCAACACCTCAGGTTTTGATTCTCTCTGAGCTTACATGTTGTCCCTTCCCCCTTGTTGTGTCATTTAGATTGACCCATTACTCATGTCTTACCAACAGATGGGGTGACACCCCTGATGTCCGCGGTTTGCTGTGGGGAAGTAGAGTCCAGGACCTTCCAAGGGGCATGGTTGGGATGTCCTGGGCCCTGGGAACCTCTGCTGGATGGAGGGGCCTGTCCCCAGGCTCACACCGTGGGCACTGGGGAGACCCCCCTGCACCTGGCTGCCCGATTCTGCCGGCCAACCGCTGCCCGCCGCCTCCTTGAGGCTGGAGCCAACCCCAACCAGCCAGACCGCGCAGGGCGCACACCCCTTCATGCTGCTGTGGCTGCTGATGCTCGCGAGGTCTGCCAGGTTGGCACACACTGAGGTCCCTACAGGGAATGGGGCGAGCTTACAAGTAAAGCTGGACAGAAGCATCCCCTAGAGTTTGACAAAGAGGAAACTGGTGTGATTGGGAACCTGACAGGGAAACTGCGGAGGATGGCTGAATATGGATTGTGAGTGGGGTTAAAAGTGTAAGGAACTTGAGTTGGCAGTCCAGGGTACCCCAGGGGTCACTGGCCCTCTGTCTCCCCAGCTTCTGCTCCGTAGCAGACAAACTGCAGTGGACGCTCGCACAGAGGACGGGACCACACCCTTGATGCTGGCTGCCAGACTGGCAGTGGAAGACCTGGTTGAAGAACTGATTGCAGCCCAAGCAGACGTGGGGGCCAGAGATAAATGGGGTATGTAGAGGAAGGGGTGATGTGTGCTGTAGAGAAGTTGAGCAGATGGGGTGGGAGATGGAGTGCAAAATATAGGTGCAGTGGAGGGGCATTCCCTCTCATCCTGCTGTTAAGGCTGTCAATCTGCGATGCGGTGGAAATACGGGCCGTATGAGTTTCCCCCCCAACTTCTACCGTCAACACCACACTGGCCCTCTGCTCCAGCTTACTGGGGAACTGGCATGGAAGACAGTGTGTGTGGAAAGGGGGCGGGATCTCGTCGGGGGGGACGGTTTCCCAGTCTCACCGACCCCAGAACAATGCCCCATTGTCCCTCCCGAGCACTGATGACGTCACCAGGGCAACATTTCCTACAGGCCGGTAGTCTCCTGGGCAACGCTTCCCGCCTTTGAGGGACCAACCGGCCCAAATAGCCCTTCCCCCAAGGACAGAACCCGTGGGAAACCGGAACCCAGGCGTCTGGCCCCCAACAGCGGTAACAACCTCCCACGTCGTCCCCTAGGGAAAACTGCGCTGCACTGGGCTGCTGCCGTGAACAACGCCCGAGCCGCCCGCTCGCTTCTTCAGGCCGGAGCCGATAAAGACGCCCAAGACAGCAGGGTTAGATGGGACAGAGGGCTTCCCACAAAACAGTCGGGCGCAGGAGAGATGGAAAGTGCGGTAACCCGCAAAGCCTGAAGGGAGAGGGGCCAGTGGTCCCCCAAGTGAAGGTAGAAAGGCCCAGTCCTGTGGGCGTGGCCTGCCCTGATATCGCCCCTGGCTCTTTCCTCCTGTGCAGGAGCAGACGCCGCTGTTCCTGGCGGCACGGGAAGGAGCGGTGGAAGTAGCCCAGCTGCTGCTGGGGCTGGGGGCAGCCCGAGAGCTGCGGGACCAGGCTGGGCTAGCGCCCGCGGACGTCGCTCGCCAACGAAACCACTGGGATCTGCTGACGCTGCTGGAAGGGGCGGGGCCACTAGAAGCCCGTCACAAAGCCACGCCCGGTCGCGAGTCCGGGCCCTTCCCGCGCGCACGGACGACGTCCGTAAGCGTGCCCCCGCATGGGGGCGGGGCTCTGCCGCGCTGCCGGACGCTGTCAGCCGGAGCAGGCCCTCGTGGGGGCGGAGCTTGTCGGCAGGCTCGGACTTGGTCCGTAGACTTGGCTGTGCGGGGGGGCGGGGCCTATTATCATTGCCGGAGCTTCTCGGGAGGAGGAGCAGGAGGAGGCCCGCCTCCTCGCGGCCGTAGGTTTTCTGCAGGCATGCGCGGGCCTCGGCCCAACCCTGCGATAATGCGAGGAAGCTACGGAGTGGCTGCCGGGCGCGGAGGCAGGGGCCCAACGGATGACTGGCCCTGTGATTGGGTGGCCCTGGGAGCTTGCGGTCCTGCCTCTAACATTCCAAACCCGCCTTCTTGCCTTACTCCGTCCCCGGAGCGGGGATCCCCTCAACTTGACTGGGGTCCCCCAGCCCACCAAGAAATGCCCATAAACCAAGGAGGAGAGGGCAAAAAATAGGAGAATACATGGTAGGGAGGAATTCCAAAATGATTACCCATTAAAAGGCAGGCTGGAAGGCCTTCCTGGTTTTAAGATGGAGCCCCAAAAATGAAGGGTTGTGAGTTTAGTTTCTCTCCTAAAATGAATGTATGCCCACCAGAGCAGGCATCTTCCACATGGAGAAGCTGCAGCTCTGGAAAGAGGGTTTACAATGCTAGGATGAGGCAGGCCCAGTCCTCCTCCAGAAAATAAGGCCACAGGAGGGCAGAGTGGAGTGGAACTACCCCTAAATTGGAACCAAGAACTACAGGCATATGGGATGTAAGATGTTCTTTCTATATATGGTTTCCAAAGGGAGCTCCCTTCATCCATTGTCCCCACTGCCCACAAATGGCTGACAAATATTTATTGGACACCAACTATGTGCCAGGCACTGTGTAGATGCTGAAAAGTGGCCAAGGGCCGCCCCAGCTGATGACTCCTTGCATTCCCTCCCCTCACAACAAAGAAACTCCACTGCGGGGATGAAGCGCTTCTTCTAGCCACTGCTATCACTATTTAAGAACCCTAAATCTGTCACCCATAATAAAGCTGATTTGAAGTGTTACCTTTTTTTGGAGGAGTTGGGGAGAAGAATGGGAAAAAAGATGGGAGTGACTGCATAGTGTCAGCATTTTGTGCTTTCGGCTCAGCATTTGCATTGAATGGAGGATGTAAGTATAGTTTAAAAGCAAGAATAAGTATATTTAGGGGCCCTATGATAATTTAGGGTATTATCTGAAAGCAAGAGTCTAGTAGCCAAGGGAGAACCCACACACACACTAGGTCAGGGGTCCCCAACCCCTGGGCCGCAGACTGGTACTGGTCCATGGCCTCTTAGGAGCTGGGCCACACAGCAGGAGGTGAGCAAGCATTACTGCCCAAGCTCCACCTCCTGTCAGATAAGCATAAGCATTAGATTCTCATAGGAGCTCGAATCCTATTGTGAACTGCGCATGCAAGGGATCTAAGTTTCTTGCTTCTTATGAGAATCTAATGCCTAATGATCTGGGGTGGAACAGTTTCATACTGAAACCAGCCCCCCAACCCCACTGACCATGGAATAATTGTCTTCCATGAAACTCTTCCCTGGTGCCAAAAAGATAGGAGACCACTGCACTAGATGATGCACACACTTTGTCCCTCATCCTAGGGCTTTTAGTTATGGCCACTTAGGAGATTCCTAAGGCCACAAGTCAAGTAGATGGAGAGAGTGTCTTAAAGAAACTGTCCACCTTGCAGCAACATGTTGCTAGGTTTGAAACATGAAGTCATGAGGCATTTTGAAAGCCAATAATATCTACAGTTTATTGAGTATCCACTATGCATCAAGTGCTTTATTACATTTAATACATCAACTCTATGAAGTAGGTGCTATTAAAACCCTATTTTACTCTTTCAGAAATTGAGGCACAGAGATCTGCTCAAGATTGCAAAGGAATAAGTGGCAGGACCAGATCTCCTCTTCATCACATTTCACATTCCAAATCACTCAGCTATAAACTCCCTAACATGACAGGCTGCCATTTAGAGGTACCAAATGGCTGTCTGCCCTGCTCCTTCCTTGATGCCAACCAACCTGATTAGCATTGATCAAAGACCAAGCCAGAGAGGTAGTCCTCTCCCTTTTCGATTTCATTTCATTTCTTTCTTTTTCTGAAACAGGGTCTTGCTCTGTTGCCCAGGCTGGAGTGCAGTGGTACCAATGGCTCACTGCAGCCTCAACCTCCTGGGCTCAAGCAGTCTTCCCACCTCAGCCTCTCATTTTTCCATATCTACATCTCTTATACCCAAAATAGGTTTTCCCTTGCCCCTTATCTGCACTAAACTATAAGTTTCCAAAATGAAGCCTTCCTGTACTCTCACATTTGGTACACATCTTGTCTCCTGAATAGAGTGTATATTTTATTTTACTTTATTTTATTTTATTTTATTTTTATTTTGGAGACAGAGTCTCGCTCTGTCACCCAGGCTGGAGTGCAGTGGCACAATCTTGGCTTACTGCAACCTCTGCCTCCTGGGTTCAAGCAATTCTCCTGCCTCAACCTCCTGAGTAGCTGGGACTACAGGCGCATGTGGCCACGCCCGGCTAATTTTTTGTATTTTAGTAGAGGCGGGGTTTCACTATGTTGCCCAGGCTGGTCTCGAACTTCTGAGCTCAGGCCATCCACCCTCCTAGGCCTCCCAAAGTGCTAGGATTACAGGTGTGAGCCACAGCTGCCGACCATCTCCTGAATAGACTATAAATACCTGAAGGTCAGGGATTATTCAATACATATATATTGAATACTTAATACGTGTTGGACCCATTGCTAGGGTTTTATGTATATATTTGAGAGCTCCACATCCCTAGGTCTGAATCCTCTACTTCCCACTGGAACCATGCCCCCTCCCAGACCCAGTAAGTAAGAGGGAAGATCGGGAGGGCCAAATCCTACAGCAGGGTCTATCTCAGGGAGGGAAGGGACCTGGTTGGGGGGAGGGGGATTCTGAGGAGTGAAACCACTTCCTGTGTAGCTAGTTCCTGTGTTGACAGAAAGAGCAGAAGAGGAGGTGGGGTGGAGGGAGCAGAGTCAGGGATTAGGGGGCTACTGAGGCTCTGGAGATGAGACTGCCAGGAGTCCTTCCCCACCATCAGCCCCCTCCACTCCTGCAGCTGGAGGAGTTTTTCCCAGTCTCTGTGCTCCCCTGGGGTGAGAGAGACTGAACAAGCTGTTTGGGTGGGAAAAGAGAATGGAGGAAGTTGACAGGGATGGGCGGGGCCCGTGGGGGGGCTGACCAGGAACCCAGCTTCCTGCTCAGTACCCAGGCATCCAGCCCCCAGCTCACCCCCACCCCTTCCAGCCCCCACTCCCCTCAGGAACCCAAGGTTCCGGCCCTCCTCCCAAATCCCAGCCACCCCTCCCCCACCAGTTTCTCCCCTCCAGGGGATGGAGGCTGAGAGACCCCAGGAAGAAGAGGATGGTGAGCAGGTGAGCTGGGCACGGGGTTGGGGAGGCTGACACTGGGAAAGAAGGGAGGTGAGAGGATCTGGGGCAGAAATATAGGGACACAGGGGCCTTGTAAGGCTTGGGCAAACTGAGGCAGGAACAGAGACACACAGAGAGGAAACGGGCCACTGACCTAGCCCCTGTCCACTCCACCCACTTCAACCACCACTGCTTGACTGGAATGGACATATTTTGGCATCAGGGCCCCCCTCAGGATGAGCAAGGCTGGCCCCCTCCAAACTCCACCACTCGGCCTTGGCGATCTGCTCCTCCGTCCCCTCCTCCTCCAGGGACCCGCCACACAGGTACCCCTACCCACCCAGGGAGAGCCCTGACCCTGGTGCCCACATCCTGATCCCATTACCAAGGCCCAGTCCATTGTGGGCCCTCTCCCCACCTTCTCCAGACTCCCCTTGGGATTACCCATTGCGCCGCCTCTCCTCTGACCCAAAGTCCCTAATCACATCACCCTATTCACACTCCCCCACGGCTCCTGTCTGCCAACCTCTCTGGGTCTCTGAGCCCTCCACACCCCTCTCCCCAGCACTAGGACCCCGCTCGGCCTCCCTGCTCTCCCTGCAGACTGAGCTCCTTCTGGACCTGGTGGCTGAAGCCCAGTCCCGCCGCCTAGAGGAGCAGAGGGCCACCTTCTTCACCCCACAAAACCCCCCAAGCCGAGCCCCTGCCCCACTCCGTCCTCTCGAGGACAGAGAACAGCTTTACAGCACCATCCTCAGTCACCAGGTAAGACATCCCCCCAGGAGGCAAACCCAGGCCTCCTGGTCTCTTGGCCCTGTTCTCTTTTGGGTTCTACTCCTGCTTCTCCCTAGGCACCCCATCACCTTCACAGGTTTCCTATATGCCTCCCCATACCAACCCTTGATCCTCTCAAGAACCTCCTCCCCTCCGACCCTCACCAAAGCTCTTCCTCTGCCTCCACTCCTCCAGTGCCAGCGGATGGAAGCCCAGCGGTCAGAGCCTCCCCTCCCTCCAGGGGGGCAGGAGCTCCTGGAGTTGCTGCTGAGAGTTCAGGGTGGGGGTCGAATGGAGGAGCAAAGGTCCCGGCCCCCCACACACACCTGCTGAGACTTGAGCCCCCAGCCAGCCCTTCCTCGCCCCTGGTCTGAAAGCTGGGCAGCCTATTGCATGCCCTCAACTCTTGCTTGGCGGGGGTAACAGAGACTGAAAGACGCAGCGCAAATCTCAATATTCATCGCCCACATCACCTTCCCTGGGAACTGGATGGGGTGAAAGGCCTCAAACTCTGGGAACAGGCGAGGTGGAACGTGGATTTAACTCCCCCCCGCACAGGTCCATGGGAGCTTGAGGCAGTAAGGGGGATCCCAGGCACCCATCTCAATGAGTGGCTGGGAGTCTTTTCCCTAACTTGTGGGGACACCACCAATTGTCGAGCTACTAGGCACTAGGGTCTGAGGGCTCAGGCCTCCTCCTGAGAGGTTATAACCTGAGAGACAGCTCTACCCTTCCTCCCAGTAAGAAGGGAAGGTGGGTGGGCACCTGAGAGATTAAGACTATTCTCCCAGTCCCACTACCAGCACCCCCATCCCTGAGACTGAGGGGTTTAGAGGCTGTGAATGGACCTTCAGCCCTGCCCACCCTCCCTCCCCACTGCTGCTGAGTCTGTCCGATGTTTTGGTTGTGTGAATAAATGTAATACCCCTCTGGACTGAAGACTGGTGTCTGGGGGACCAGGGCGGGGTGAAGGGTAGGAAGGTGAGGCCAGAGGCCGCCTCTCTCCCCAGTCTGGCCAGAGGCCAGCTCCCCTCCCTGGCTGGTTAATTACTGGCTCATTAAGCAGCGGCTGGAGACCTCCCTAATTATCTCCCCCAGCCCCCCTCTCCTGGTTTTAATTAAGTAGAACAGGGAGGGGAGTCATTAGAACAAGAAATATGAACTGAGCTGTCGGTGAACCCAGGCATTCCAGCGGCGTGAGTCCACATCGCCTAGATCCCTGATTCAGGACCCAGGTGGCAGACCCCCGCAGCCGCCAACACGCCCCTACTCCCAGGCCGCGGAAGTCCAGCCAGGGGGCTTTCCCATATTTTTCAGATAGCCCGTCTCCTCCCCTCATCCCCTCTTCCCTCTCCCCTCCTCCACTCGGTCTCAGTTCCTCTGTTTCTGTGTCTCTCTCTCCGCCCCCAGCTCCTCCCTGTTCCTCCTCTCTTCTCCCCTCCTCTTCCTCCCCGGCTCCCCTCCCCCAGCCTCCCTCCCTCGCTCCCCCCCTTCTCCCTCCTCCCTCCTCCCTCTCTCTCACACACACCCCCGCTTGGGCCTCCTCTCTCTCTCCGGCTCCATTTTCTCCGCCGCCGGGGGCCGGGGTCTCCTGTGGGGGGCCCAGCCGGTACCCCAGGTCTCCCTTCAGTGCCGGGGTGAACCCCCGGGGGAGCCGGG